CTAGTAACTTAAACAATATTTCAAATTATATATATATATATATATATATATTCATTCCATTGGGGTCAATTTGTGAAACTCATACAGGCTGTTTTATGTTTTGTAATTCTACTGGGGTCATCTTGTAAATTTTTCAAAAATTTTAGACAAAATTCCTATAATTCAAAAGCATTTCTCAACTCAGTGGTGTCAACTGTTGTAGCTGTGGCTCTGCTCCTCCCTTTCCCCTTAAATAGATATGCACAATATTCTTGACGTAAATATTTATAATAATTTTAAAAAATAATAATAATAATATTCTAGGCTCACTTTCAACTTAGCATAGAACAAGGTATATTTTCTCTTTTGTTTGACCATTTTTAGATATGCTTGGCATCAAAAGGTTGCTCTCTAACTCAAAGGCTATAATTGTGAAAATTGTCACAAGTTAATTAGTGCCTAGGGTCTTATTATATGTTGGTTACAAAAGTAGACATCTATCTAAGACATTTCAGGCTATTTAGGATGACTCAATAGGTTGTGATTGGATGATGATTGATGAAACCTTTATATTTTGACCAATTTTAAAAAGTAAATTAAAAGTTAAATTTTTTATTTTTTTTAAAAAAATATATATAAAAAAATAATGATTCAAAAGAAATTAAAAATCAAAATATTAAGTTTTAATTTCTTGTCAAAAAAACCCGTTGTATATTATATCAATGCATCACATTAAATTATATAACAATAAAAAATATTAGATATTTCAAAAATTAACCAAATATCTCACATAGGTGTGGAATTCACATGAAATTCACATTTTGTCGGTCTCACACCCATGTGAGACATTTGATAAAATTTTTGAGATTTCTAATATTACTCATATAGCCTTCGTTTGGCATAAATTAAAATGAGACTTTTTGGCTAAAGCAGTCACAAAAAGACAAAATAGACATTTTAGCCCAATAAAACAAAGCCTTCGTTTGGGAAGTGGGTTGGCTTTTTGACTTTTTGGCTTTTTTGGTTATTTTAGCCTGGACTTAAAAGCTTGGTTTGGAAAGGGCTTTTTGGCTTTTTGGCTTTTTTGAGTTTTTTTGTGAGAGAAGAATGTAATGATTATGGGTTGGATGTGATGTTTTGTTTGTTATGGCTAAAATAGCCTATTTTGTTTTTTGTAGCTAAAATAGTCAAAAAAGCCCAAGAACCAACTTGCCAAACAGAGGCTACGAGGAGACAAAATAAAGAAGTTGGACCATACAACTTGTTCAATGTCTATATTTAAACCCAAAATAGGAAGAATGAACAAGTTCAAAACCCCAAACATCAGCAACATATCACAAAATAAAGCGCTGCCATCAAGCTCCCCGCTCATATCACTCCAAAACAGCAAGCACCAGGGCAGTATATCCCAAGAGAGTACAGACATTGCACCTGAATCATCCTTAAATAGCACCAGCAGTGTACGTCTAGGTAGCAAACAAGCTTGCCTCCATAAACCATGCTCGGCAGCATACGAAAAGAACAAACCTATCCTTGTTATGTTTTCCATAGCAGCACATGCATATAGTTCCCACCCAAAGATAATATTTCCCTACACAACCTGTAGGGATAGGGAATCAAAACCAACAGCTACAATCATCTAGGACTAGACAGCTGTAGACTCTATACAAATAAAAAAGAAATGAACTATTACAATATTTAAATAAAAGACAAAGTATTTTCCATTTGGAGATTTTCCACTTAGACTGGCGCAACAGTGCAGCTTGGTCTTTGTGTCTCCATCTCTCATCGAAGCCTCCAGCCGGCCAGAACAAAGTTGTTGTTCACGAAACTTCTTTCCCAACACAGATTAGAGTAACCTGGAAGTAACATTAGTACACATGTGAAACAAACAAATAAGCAACACCCATAACACAAATTATAACAAAGATCACAGTTTAGGAGGGCTGAATCACTCAACCCACAATATTCACACACTTCAACAAAGCATAACAGTGTTAGGGGCTTGGTTAAAATCATGGTACAATGAGTGAGAAAAAAAAAACAACTACAACAATATTTGGACAGTTAAACTTTTCTGTTGTTATTCTTCTTAAGTTTTGATCTTCCCGTTTGTATCAATTCTCCATATCTTTTGGTTTTGAATCAATTGACTAGTTGGACAGGTTTCTTAATTGCTGTGTTAATGTAAATTGTAAATAATAAATCACCACTCCACCTACCACATCCACTATCACCACTCACCTACCTCACCTACTCCCAAAACCTCTCCTATATAATACATCCTTGTAATATACAAAATGTACAACAATCAATCAATCAATCAATAATACTTCAATTTTAACATGGTATCAGAGCAAGGTTAAGAATTTAGTGATTCCGCTTCACCGGCGGGCGGCAGCCTCGCCTTGGCCGTCCGCCGGACAAACCCAAATTTTCTACTCCTCTCTCGCTCTCTTCTTCTTCCTCCTCCTCCTCTCCAGTTGTTCCATTCTCTGCAACACTGCTATTCTCAAACCCAACAGCTATGGCTTCAATAGCCAATCCAAACCCATCACCAGCTTACGTAGAAGCCATAGAAGAGATCATGAAAACCTACAAATCACTCCTTCCCAGACCCACAATCGAGGAGGTCAAAGCCGCCACTTCCCTCCTCAAAACCGTCGAAACCGAACACCAATCTCGTCTCTCCGAGATCTCCCTCCACGTGGCGCCGCCGGCGGTACCGTTTGAGATAGGACATTGGGATATTTGTTTGGGAATCAGAACTCTGGATTGATTTCCATTGCTTTTGAGCAAGAGAATATGCAAGTGCTCTTTCTCTCTTGAAAGCCCCTTCTTGCCTCATTTGTAGCTTTGCAGTAATCTCTTCTAGTGTCCCTTGACTATCACACCACCCTTCTTCAGCTTGTTTCAAGAGATCAGCCATGCTGCGCCGTTCATCTAGCATCTTCTGTACAATCTGACCCTCCATAGACATACGAACACGACGAGCTCTAACCCGGGCTTGCACTCGAACAAGAGCCTGCATGCATCTCAGAGTCACAGCAGCCTGTTTCCTCACCTGCCGACCCCGAACCAAAGCTTGAAGCCTCACCACTCCTTTCAAGGCCCTTAAAGCTCTTCTTGCCTATATTTATCCACAAGTTATTACAATACAGCAAGGATAACATTTGAATTTCCCAAATGGTTGAATCAAAAAGTAACTCAAGCATAAATTTATTGAACAGACATATGTTGCAAACATCAAATCTTACTTAAAATTTTGAACAATGCTAATTATGCATCCAATGATTGATAAAATAACTCAAAACTGCAAAAAGGTGACTGCCTTGGACACAGTTGAGTACTCCTAGATTAAATTTTTTTTGCAATGAACAGCTAAAATTCTTCACTTCATGAGATCTGGGGTTTTCTAGGTTTTAATCATTCTATTGATTCTCTAAATGATTAATCCATCAACTAAGTATGTACTAATTAATTGTTATCGCATAGGCCATAATACAGAAAACTTGTATTAATTGAGACCTCCTCCTTTCAAAACATCTAGATCCAAGCTTCTATTGTAAAATTAAAGATTGATGTAGATTAGTCTGTCTATGAGTTTAAAAATAGTTCAGTTCCAAGTCTCTCACCATGCATCAATAAAGTTGTCTATCTATTCATCTGACTATGAAAATATAGAAGACCCCTAGGCTGCCTTTAATTGCAAAAAAGGAAAGAAAAAGCAAAACAGGAACTATTCTACTTTCTAACTGGAGTAAATTGAATGCATAATAGAAAAATGAATCATTTGAATTTTCTTTTCTTTTCCTTTACTTTAATAATTCATTTTTCTTAGAAACAAATTTCAGCTAAAATTTTATTGTTGTTGTATACCCTCTATTCTGTGTGTCACCCTTCATATATCTAACAAAAAAACTCTTCGAGTGACAAAATCAAAATGTCTTTATTTTTTCCCACAATTTCTCAGCAACCAAACAGATCAAAAAAAAAGGGAAGGGGGGGGACACCATGTACCAAGAAGCCACGGAAAGCAGTTTGGATCCGGATTGCGGCCCATTCTTGTCTCACAACCCTGAAATCTTTAGGGTGAGCTCGGACCACAGTAGCTACAGCAGCTGTAAAAGCATCATTAGTCATCACTGATGAACAATCAGACCCCTCTGATGCAGTACCTCTGTGATGGTTCCCTCTGAAACCCTTCCATGAGGACCCAAGATCCCCTGATGAATTCCTCCATAGCTTCCATTTCTTGCCCTTACTTCGACCCTTTTCCTAGATAAACAAGTGAGACAGAGAGAAATTGAGAAGAAAAAAAAATAAAAAAATCTACAGATTCATGGTGGGATTGTTATAAGCAAGCTTACTTGGTCGTCTTTCTCTGGCTTCTTGAGACCTATCAATGCTTTTACCCATTTTCCTGAACCACCCATTGATGAGAAAGCTCACAACTTGCAACTCCTCAGAAAAAAGCTCTAATTTTTAATGAAACAGAGGCCTAAAGAGCTCAAATGAAACCCTTTTATACACAGGAGAGGTGAAATTTAGAGAGAGAAAAGGGTAATTGTAGAGAGAGAGAGAGAAGAGGGGAGTGGTGGGATTGGATAATGGGGCATGTAGTGGTGGATTTGGTGGTGTTTGTCTTGAGTGGTGTTGTGTTGTGTCGTGAAATGAGCCGTTTGATATTTGAAATTCGAAAATAACGGACACGAGGTGGACTTTAAATTTCCCGCTGGGATTCGCTGCTTTTTTTGAGGAGGGCGTGATTGATTAAACGACCCTCGGTTTTGGAAAATATTACGAGGTGTACCCCACCGCCACTACTTTTGGCAAAATTATGAAAAGGCACGTTTCCTTTTTTCTGTTTATGAAAAGGCACACAAAAGTTAAATTATAAAAAACAAAAACAGAGACAAGAAATCTGTAAAGTCAGTGCTATGAGGATCTGGTGTGTTGTAAATATTTTTATTTAAGTAGAAATATCTGTCATTATTGCTCATTGATGTATATTAGAGTACTCATCGTTCAGTTTTCGACAGTTTCAGTTTATGATTTGAACTTGCCTGTATATCTGCAGTTTGAAAAAAATTGAATCGGTAAGTGGTTTGTATAGATAGGATTTGCGGATGTGGGGATGATTGCGAACGTTTTACACATTGAATTTTTTTCTTTAAAAAATTATTTTGAGGTTTTTTTTTTTTTTTTTCTGTTTTGTAAATATTTGTTTTGAGCCATTTCTCTCCCATTTTCTAAAATGTTCAGCATTAATAATTGAGCGAATTATATTAACTATTCCTATAGTTTGGGATTCGTGTCACTTTGGTCATTGACTTTTCAATTGTGACACATTTAATTTTAAATTTTGAATCTTATTCCAAATAAAGAGGATTGAAGATGTCATTGCTTAATTTCAAGGGTAAATCGTCAATTTGATAAAATATAAACTAAATTGACAAAATTAAATGTCAAAAAAATATTTTTAAAATTTTAAAAATTATTTCTATACACTAAAGATAAAATTATATAAAATTGATAATTTTTTTGACATTTATTTCTTTAGTTTTTTACTAAATTAAATTTTATTATGTGTTTGGATGATGATTATGTAATGAGTGATTATTAGGATTTTAATGTGTAATCGATAAAAAAAATTTAGTTTTGGATTTTTTATTTAATGGATTGGTTTAATAATAATATCAAAATTGTCGCCATATTTGACTTTTGAAAAAATAGAAACTAATTTAATGAAAATAAAAACAATTACTCATTACATGATCATCATCCAAACACATAATATAAATTAATTTGATAAAAATAAATAAATAAATGTCTAAAAGATTTATTAATTTTACATAATTTTATCTTTAGTAGGTAGAATAATTTTTAAAAATTCAAAAATATTTTTTTGATATTTATTTTTATCAAATTAGTTTATATTTTATCAAATAGACGATTGTGCCCGTGAAATTAAGCAATAATATCTTCAATTGTTCTTATTGGAATAAGATTGAAAATTTAGAGTCAAATATGTTACAATTAAAAAGTCAAGAACTAAAGTGACATAAGCCCTAAATTATAGGGACCGTTAGTGTAATTCGTCCTTAATAATTAGTGAATTAAAATTATAAAATTAAAAACGCAACAAAATCAATTCCTAACACAAGCAAATCATTCAAAATCCTAAACTTTTAAATGAAATCCTAAACTAACACAAGCGTGTCTTTCAAAATTTTAAACTAAAACATTAAAATCATTCACTACCCACCAATACAATTAAAGTAAAATCATATAAAATCTTAAATTTACCTAAAAGTAATTATTTGTTAACTTTTACACTCATTCAAAATGTAATAATAAAATAATAATAAATTGTTGCTAAACTTCATCCAATTCAAACCCATTAAATAAAATAAAAACATTTTGCAAACTCGCAAACTCCATCCAGGATAGGATGAATGAATCAACGATCCAGGTTTTTTTTTTTTAAAAAAAAAATGTCTAAGGGCGGGCAGATTCTTGCAAGTGCAGGTAAAACTTGCAACTTGTAATTATGCTATATTTCAAACCGTATTTACCAGCATTGTGTTTGCGAAACCGTCTATTTATATACGAATCTGTTCAGATTAGACGAGTTATGTGATTTGGATAACCCTATACTCATCGTTAGTGTATACACATAATTAATTGAGGCTCGAATTTGGTAGATCAACTCATAAGACCTACAACAAGTTTGGCATGATTCAAAAAAAACAAAAAGTCAAAAAGTCACTATATTATTTAAGTCACATCATCTTATTTAAGTCACATCACCTCTCTAACACACCACTTCAAACCCAACCTAAACCCAACCCATATTTTATAAAAAGTCAAAAAATACACTTATTTAGTCTTCCCAAATTAGGCCTAAGTTTAAGGCCCACCACTAACAACCGGCCAAGATAAAGATCCTCTACGAGACCCTCTATAAAAGAAGGATGTATGTATCAAAAATCCTCCTCCATTTTTACCTTTCCTAACTTATTTTGAAAATTAGGTTAAAAGTTAATTTTTTAATTTTTTTTAAAAAAAATATGTAAAAACATAGAGAAGTGATGTGATTTAAAAAAATAAAAAAAAGTCAATAAATTAACTTTCAACCTAATTGTTAAAGAGGTCCACCATTAAAGGCATTGAAAAAATTTTGGTTGGTACCACACTGATGCTCCAAATAAATTATATCGGACCAAATAAATTTAAATATCATCACTCATAATTATTGACGTGTATAAGCCCATAAAGGCCACGAATCATTATGAACAATCCAAACCCATCACTTGGAGCCCAATGCATAACCCAGCTGGTGAGGTCCAGGACAGCTAGAGTCTAACATGGCATAAAAAGCCAATGACATTCAGACACAGGCAGGTGAAGGACGGGCCACATCAGCAGACAAATATCTGCAAAGTTATTGCCACTGCACATCACCATTAATGCAGCCCATCACGGCATTTATTACGACAACACCTCTCCGTCGGAACAAGACCCCCTTACCCTGAACAAGGTAAGCTACAGTATAGACTTTCGGCGATGAGGGCAGGTCGGAAGGGACAGCGAAATGATTACCAAAGGATATAAGCAAATGTTGAAGACAAGAAGAAGGTTAAGCTTTTCTATCTCTAATCTCTCCCTCTATACTCTGCTTCTCTTCCTAACTTGCTCGTCGGAGGGTTCACTGGGGGACTACCCCGTTCCCCGTTGAACTTGTTTGCAGGTTATCCGGTGAGCTTGATCATTTGGACCAGGGCTTGAGGAGCTTGGACCAGTCCGATCCATTCACTGGGACAAACTGTATTATCAGTTGGCGCCGTTTGTGGGAACTGGTTCTTATCCGGACGCCAGTTGTGCTTATTGTCGCCAGAGACCCTGTCCTAACAACCTTTTCCTCCCACCCATCCAAGTGTATAGTCACGACTAGATCCATGGCTTCTCACCATAAAGCTGCCGACCATCAAACCGACCCTCCCAATCCAAACAACCCACCACAGTATATCATTGAGCTTACCAACAGCATTAATCGCATGGCCGAACAAAACCAGGCCCTAATAAATGCTTTACTCCAAAGAAACCTTTCGATGCCTCCTCCACCACCTCCAGACATCCCACCCAACCAAGAAAGAGCCCCGAGCCATACTGCTCCCCAACCCTATCCACCCAACTTGGAGGGTTTGCAACCTTCTCCCCCGCATATAAATTTACCATCTCCACCGCCATACCCTTCGGTCATGGCACCAGGCCCTGAAGGGGAAGCCAGCAGCGTCCAGCCCCCATTGACTGACCATGGTGACCACATTCCCCTCTGGGACGCTGAACTTCGAGCAATGAAGCTCCAGCTCCAAGGGGTCATGCAGAACATTCAGCATAAACCCTCTACCACGGCAAGCTCACCATTTGTTGCCTCCACCCGGGACAAACCTCTGCCCGCCAAGTTCAAGATGCCCACCATTGACTCTTTTGATGGTACGACGGACCTAGTCGACCACCTAGAGACTTACCGTACTCTCATGATCCTCCATGCCTTTCCTGACGAGATCATGTGTCGGGCTTTCCCTGTGACACTGAAAGGGTCAGCTCGACTGTGGTTCAGCCAGTTACTCGCAGACTCTGTCTCCACTTTCCAGCATCTCAGCGACTATTTCCTTAGCCATTTCATTGGAGCCCAGCACCAACGCCGCCCTGCAACCCAACTCCTCAACATCCGTCAGACCGAAGGGGAGTCGCTGCGCAGTTTCATTACCCGCATCAACACCGAAGCCCTGCAGGTCGCGAAAAACGATGACAAGGTCATCCTCACAGCTTTCACGGCCGGGCTACGATCGTCCGATTTCCTCTTCTCCCTCTTCAAAAACCCCCCGACCTCCATGGCCGCGCTACTCTCCAAAGCCCAGAAATACATGAATGTCGAAGATTCACTAGCTGCTCGGCAGGATCCAATACCTAAAAACCCGACCCCCAAAGAAAAGAGAAAAGACTCAGAACCCAGAAACACCCAGTATAACAGCCAAACACCCCACTATACCGACCGACCTCCTCGTATTGACCAGTCGGCACCAGCCCGACCGCCCGGTCGGTTCAAGCGGTACACGCCCCTTAATTCTCCCATGGAACAAGTCCTCCACCATATCCAACGAGACTACCCCCTCAAATGGCCCCTACCCTCACGGACCCCTTCCAACCGGAAAGACCAGTCCAAATATTGCCGTTTCCACCAGGGCCATGGCCACAACACTGATGACTGCATCAACCTCAAGGATCAGGTTGAGACCCTCATTCGTCAAGGGTGTCTCAGCCGGTTCATGGACACCCACCCACAGCAGAGGCAAAGAACCGAGCCCCTCAGAAACAACCACAGGCGTACCCCACCCCGGCAGCCAGCCCAACCTAACCAAGGCCATGATCGCCCCCCACAACAGCCTCGGCCACCAGGTAATCCCCCTCCGCCAGTTGGTGAAATCTGAGTCATTTCAGGTGGCCTTGCTTGTGGCGGACCATCCCGCTCTGCTCAGAGGGCAAAGCTCAGGAAGATAAGGCAAGGCTCGGACAGAGCAGTTG